GCTAAGGATCCTTTCCATGAAGGAAGAAGGTCCTGGAGCCTAACAGTCCCCAGGGGCAGTGACAAGAAGCAGGGGAGGGAGAGGACTGCTGCTGGCTGCTCCACCCCCTACACACAGAACGTGGGGTCTTGCGCGTCTGCCTCTCTCCTGCCCCTAATTAGTAGCTGCCTCCCTCCATATTGTCCCAGGCCAGCGCCTCTTTTGTGCTCCCAGATGCCTGGGTGCAAGGTGGCCTCATTAGTGCCCGGAGACCGCCCCATCTCCAGGGAACAGGCGGATAGACAAGGGGGTGATTAGGGGCACAGTGATCCAACCCTGGCCTCTGAATGCAGCAGCGGCCATTCCTTGGGCCCAGCCTGGAGACGGCCCCCCTGCAGGAGGCTAATCTTAGACTTGCCTTTGTCTGGCCCGGGTGTGGACGCAAGTGCCTGTCAATTCCCTGCCACCTCAGAGCACTATAAACCCCAGACCCCTGGGAGAGGGTCAAAATCGACAGCCTCAAGGTTCCTGGCTTTTTGAGCCACCGCAGACATCTCCTTTCCCGGCTGCCCCACCCTGAGCACCAGATACCATGAACCTTCCTTCCACAAAGGTAAAGACCCAGGGACGGAGGGGTGATTCACCATCCCGGAGAAGCAAAACTAGCGCTTGCTCAGAGGGCTGGAAGAAAGGCCGAGGGTGTCTCCACTCTTGGTCTTTTCCCGGGTGTGCTCTGAGGCAGGAGCACCTGCCTTGGCTCACACTGGGTTGGGTGCTGTTTTGCTAAGAGCCTGTGTTTGCTGAGCTCTTACTGTGTGTCAGGTGCTCTGTTTGCTCTTTTTTTTGTCAGCTCTTTTCAACCTCCCAGCAGCCCTGCAGAGTAGGAATTATTTCTAGTATACCCAGTTTACAGGTAAGGGAGCTGTGCCCTCCGAAAGGGCAGGAAACTGGTTCAAAGCCACGGAGTTCAGTTACTCCAGAAAGGGGGCAGGCAGATGGGACAGCATTCTGGAGTCTTGCTAGCTCCTGATTTCCACGTGTTTCCCTGCTGTGGAGAGGAGGTGGCGGGCACTCAGTAGGGCCCGGTTTTCCCCAAGTTTACAACTTCTTCTGCAGACAGACACGCCTGTTTTCAGGTGGAGTGGTAAATGCCCTAGTGGGGGCACAGTGGCCTAAGTCTCCAGAGGAGAGGGGGATTCACTCTGCCCAGGGGGTCTCAAAAGGCCTCCTGGAGGAGATGCTCTGCTGGATCTTGAAGGAGGAGCAGGTAAAGTAGCCCGATACCAGCAAGGGCGCAAATCTAGGAGAACTAAGTGACAGCCAGAGAGAAGTGTAGGCCCGGAGGGGGCGCGGAGCCAGCAGGGTAGGTCCTGGGCGTGGGAGCTTGTGGCGGGCGCCGTGGGAAAACCCCTAGAGCCCTGTCTCCGTTCCCCTAGGTCTGCTGGGCCGCCGTGACGCTACTGTTGCTGCTGCTGCTG